GTGAGGGCTTGCCCCTGTAACTGAAGCACGGGCATGCTCCTGGACAACAGTTTGGAGTTCAAGCTCAGGCCCAGAGCAGGCGGAGCTGCCTTGGGGACCCACCCTCCAGCCCCCCGCACTTCTGAGGTGGGGCAGTGGGCCATGGGTCCTTGAGGGTTGGGGGACCCAGGTGGGAGACCACAGGGCCAGATCTGAAGGCAGGGGATCCACAACTGCCTTACTACAGAAGCCAGCGGTCGGCCAGGAAGTAACTTTCGGGTCATTTTTTGTTAGCTCTGAGGATTGTGCTCTTCAGTAGAAACTATTGATTTCTCATCTGACAAGCAGGAGGAGGCACAAGCCAGAGGCCCCCTTGCCTCGAGGTGAGCAGAATTCCTGCTGCTGCCACCTGTCTCTGGGGGCTTTGCACCCTTGGTCCCAGAGCTGCTCTCTCCTCGGAGGCGGTGGGGGTGTGTGTATGTGTCATTTTTCCAGGGGCAGCTGAGGCAGGGTCCCTGATGCCCTGGGCTTCAGTGAAGCTGAGGCCTCCTACAAAGGGGGGGGAGGGGGGCTCAGACAAGCACGGGGAGCACACCCTCCTTCCTGGCAGCCTTGAGAAGTGAAGGACCCTGCATGGCCGGGGATGGGGTGGGGTGGGGGGTGCCGTGCCAGTTTGAATGCCGCCACTAGGGAAGTTACGGAGGATGAAGACCCCTTCCCAAACCTAGAGAGCTCCTTTTGTTTCTGGGTCTGATGTATTTGGGGGTCCTCCTTGGTTGCCTGTGCAGTCTGAGGCCAGAAGGGGTTCAGGACTGCTGCAGGAAGGGTGTCTGACCATTTTCACTCCCCGATTAAAAACCCACGGCTCCCACTGCCTGCTGGGAGTGGCCTTTATGTTAACATTCCAAACCTATCGGGTTCTGGCCCCACCCTGCCGCTCTACACCTCTCTCTTGCTTATCACTGTCCCCTGAAGCCAGAAATTCTCCTTCCTCTGGCCCCTGGAACTGGCTCCCTCCTCCTAATACAGAGCATGCCATGCTGTGTTGTAATTCTGTGCTTATGGATACGGTGTCCCCCTTGAGGCTGGGGAGGGTGTCTTTGCTCTACATCCTGGGACAGGGCTTGAGAGTCACTGGCGCTTAGTGAATCCAGGGGATGATTCCCCACGTACGCCATCTGGAAGGTCATGCCTTTATCCGGGGACTCATGAGTGCTGACAGTGGCATTGCTCACAGGGGAGTCCAAGAGGCTCCTTCTCACTTGGCTCCAGGCTACATTTACTTTCTGGGGTACATTTACTTTCTGATCAAATATTATTCTGATGCTCGAGGCATCCGTGATGTTTGCAAGTCAGAAAAGTTTAATTACATGTGTCATTAGGATGGCATTCTGTAATAGCTCTGTGACTGAATTCATTAACAGAATTCTTAACAGATAAGACAAGACAAATTAATATTTTGTTGCCCATGAAAGGTTCTCATTAAGAGAGTAGTGAAAAAGTGATTAATATTTTGTTGCCAATCAAGATGTCTCATACAAATGACAAAGAAAGGAGGCCCACACCCTTCGTGCTCTCTCATCTCTCTGCCTTGGGTTTTGCAGGTGCGGTGCTCCATGCCAGGCGCTAATTACAGCCGGTGATGGCGTTTCATCTCTGGCTGCAGTGGGCGGGTGTGGGAGTGGGCATGCCACAGGCCGAGGAACTCTAGAACACCTCAGTCCCCAGTCTTTGTTCCAGCGGGACTGCCCGGCACCTCCAGGATGTTCTCCCCTGACCAGTTCTTGCTTCAAAAATGCCCCGTGAATCTTGATGCCCTGGCTCTACCCGTCTCTGGCTTGATTTCCTCTGACAGCTACTGTCATCACTGTCCCTAGGTAGGGCTGCCACTTATGAACACCTGCTGTATGCAGGGCACCGGTTAGGTGCTTCACACATATGTTCAGACTGAAAATGGCCCCATCAGGAGGATATGGCCATCCCCAATTCTCTGCAGGCTCGGAGAAGTTCAACAGCCACCCAGGGTTGCTCTGGAGGTACTAGAGGCAAATGTCACTGTGTCCCATGCTGACATGGACACCTCAGGGTCATATCTCCCTGCCTGGGGAGATTCACTGGGCTACTGCAGGCTGATGTTGGGGACTCAGGCTGCAAGGTGCTCAGAATGCTGTTTGGCACCAGCAGCAATAATAATGATGATAGTAATATCATTAATAGTAAGAATGGTAAGGAGAGTGATCATAGTTAGCATGGGACACTGCATACTGAGAACATCACAGGTGTCATTTCATCCTCACTATAACCCTACAAGGCAGGAGCTTTTATTTATTCCCATTTCACATAGGAAGAAACTGAGGCTTCAAGAAGTCAAGTTCCCTTTCCAAGGTCAGGTCGCTCAACTAGTAAGTGGTGGAGCTGAGGCTTAAACTGGGATCCCTTTGACCTTAGAGCCTGTGTGTTCACTAGCAGGGCATGTTGTCTCCTTTCCCTGCTAAGGCAGAGGGAAGTGTGTGTGTGTGTGTGTGTGTGTGTGTGTGTGTGTGTGTGTGTGTGTGTGGCGTGTGTCTGCATGAGTCAGGTGGGCATCCCTATGGGGCTGATGGTGCCCTGCACCCTCCCATGGGGGTTTCTGGGCAGCACAGGGCCTTGCCTGTTTGTGGGCTGCTGACTTGACCACGAGCAGCAAGTGTTTGCAGGGAGGTAATAAGAGGCCATTAATCTCCAGTTGCACCCACAATTAACCCAAATTGCTAACCTCACTGTGAAAAGTAGAAATGCAATTGAGTTGATGCTGGAGGCATGTTCGAGGGAGGGGAAAAACACTCAAAGTAATTTAATTAACCGATGGCAAGTGCATTAAGAGGAGTTCTGCCTCCGCCTTTATTTCTGGTGTCTTTAAATAGAGCATCAAGTAATGCACATGGATGTTCAGACAGACACGGGCAGGCCTGTCCTAGTTTGGAATTAATCACCACTGGCCAAACGCAGTTCAAAGCTGATGCCTCGCCTTGAGTGCTTTTACACACACAGACCTGTGCACCCCAAAACACACATACCCCACTCTTTGTAAACAGGACAGTACCTCTCCTTGCTGAGATCTCAGACAAGGCCTGGACACCTCAGGCTTGGAAGACAAAGGACTCTGCCCACTCAGCCTCTGTCCATCAAGCACCCAGCAGGGTGGTGCTGACACTGACATTCAGAGACGGGTCGCATTCAGGCTGTGCTCAGCACCGCGGGGAAACTGCAAGGAAATAACCCTGCCCCACATGACAAGGGTGGGAGAAGGGTGTTCCTTGCCAGACTGTGCACCTCTATGGTGACCCGCCCTCTGCCCGTCTGCTTCCCCATGATCTTCAGGGTGTAGTTAAAGGGCCTAGTGAGTAGCAGAGTCCCAACTTGGTTTCTACAGAATTTCAGGCGGGCTCTCTCCCCACCAAGTAGTCTCAGAGTTGGAAGGAATCTTCATGGTAATAGTGCTGGGCTGCCTTCTTGTGGCTACTATCATTGCTGACCATGGTCCTGCTTGAGGCTGCATGCCTCTGGGAATGGGGAACTCACTGCTTCCTGTGATGGCTCACTCTGTTTCGGGGCCGCGAGGATGGCTGTAATGGTGTTCATCTCAGCAGTCCAAACTTGTCTCTTTTTTGGGGAGCACACTGGCCCTTTGTGCTTGTTGAATTCACGGGGTCACACCGCCCAGGCTGGCTCCTGCTGCGTTAGCACCTCCCTTACCACCTCAGAGAAGTTAGCCGGAACTGACCACTCAAGACCACAAGGTCTTCCTTCTCTTGGCCAAGCATCCCATCTGGGCCAGCTCGCCTGTCGTGAGCCAAGGAGTCCTGACTGGCCCCTCTTCGGCCTGGAACTTGTATTCCTGTTACTGTAGCTGTCCTGGAAGTGCCCTCCAGGGATGACTTCACCATCTCCTCAATGAATTCCTGGGAAGCCACTTCACTCCTGGGGCCAAACCTGGGCCAATACATATACTTGAACTACTCCCTTTGTTCTTCAAGTCCAATGGAAGGAAGGTGCTGCTAATGCTGTTTTTCTAAGAGATAGGATTGCTGTCAGAAGTTGCTCAAAGTCATGAGGCTGGTTTGGGGTTGACACCCGGACCCCAGCCCAGCTATCCTTGTAGGTCACCATAGGCTGCGTGTGCTCAGCTGCTCTCTCTCTCTCTCTTTTTTTTTAACAAATAGTTTATTGTCAAGTTGGTTTCCATATATCACCCAGTGCTCATCCTCACAAGTGCCCTCCTCCGTGCTCATCTCTCCCCTTCCCCCCACCCATCAGTCCTCAGTTTGTTCTCAGAATTCAAGAGTCTCTCATGGTTTGTCTCTCTCCCTCTCCCCCACTATTTCCCCCTTCTGCTCACCTCATCAAATCTACACACCTGCACCCAGCCGACAAGGCCCCTGGGCAGGCCAGTCCGGCCTGATGGCTCTCCTTTTACCTCCTCACCTGGTCTCTGCCCTCCAGCCAACCCAGCCTGGCGGTTCACCTCTGCCCTCTGGAGGGAACCCCGTTCCCTCCTGCCCCCGCTGTCTGCATCCTGCCCAGCTGTGGGGTCTGGAGTCTTCCCTGGCTCTTCCAGCCAGTTGTCACCCCCGAGCCAGAGCCTCCTGCCTTGCCACATGCTCTCTGGGCCTGTGGTCCGTCTGCGCAGTAGGCTCTCTCATGCACCTGCCCCTCTCCCCTCCCAACCCTGTGCCCACCGCACGGATTTCACTGGTGCACCCTGTACCTAGGCCTCCGCCCTGCTCGCCGTACCTCCCCAGTCAGTACACCCTTTCTCCACTGTGGGTCTTACTGGCAGGACTGCAGCTAACATCCAGTCTATTCTCTGCACACGGTGGGGCTTGAAATTTTCTGGTATCTCCAGCTATCAGACAACAGGCTTGAAAGGCATCAAACATGGGATGTTAAAATAAAACACTCTGGCCCTGCCACTGCCATGGAAGTTTGCAGTTATGGCCCTGGGGCAGGTCTGCGTTCAGGGTCAGAGTCTAGCGACTTACATTGATGTCTTCCAAGGCCATGAAGTTGAGGGTAAGCCCATTGCGCTTCCAGACGATGGGGGGCCGCAGGTCTCCGCGGATGGCACAGGTCAGCACAGTGCTCAGCCCCACGGTCACTGTGGCCACATTGACCCTATCCTCAGGGGCGAGGCTGAGCTGAACCACCTCTGCAGGGGAAAAGGAGAAAGTCATCAGATGCACAGCACTCAAAGGCAAATGGCTACAGGGATTTCCTGCCGGGCAGGGCCTGGAGGCTTTGAGGCTCCCTGAAAACTGTCTACAACATGCTGTCTGAATGTACAGATGGATGCTTCTTGTGGGAGAGAGGCCGTGACTTCTGCGAAATGTTCAAAGGGCTCTGTGAATCAGAAGAAGTTAGGAGCCATAGCTAGTGCAGGGAAACCATCTGGGCCATGGATTTATGAGTTGAGCCGAGAACGTGGCTGTCACGCAGAGACCAGAGAGCCAGATGTGCGGTGGACACCCCGCTCCATGCTCCTGGGCCTCATGAAGTCTGGGTCTTTGCTAAGTGCAGTCAAGGTCTGCTGGCTGAGCTGACAGGTTTCTCATCCATCTGGGGGCAATTTAAAGGTTGCAGTGTCTGAAGTCTGGGGAATGAACTGGCTGACCTTTGAAGGTTTGTTTCAGTCTGAGGATTCTTTGAACTTGGATTTGGATTTCTGTTCAGCAACCTGCACTGTAGCCTTTCATTTTTCGAGGTGCACTTCAGGCTGTACAAATTATTAATCCTTGCCATTTTATACTTGATGACTGGCATTAAGCCTGATCATTCTTAAGGCAAATGGGAAGGGCCTAAAATATTTGCTTGCAATCACAGGCCTTTAGAAATTTTCAGGATTTATGAGAAAATTAATCAGACTCAGGCTGTTCATCTACCAAAATGGGATCAGGCCTGGAGGGATAGTTAGCAGCCCACTGATGGAGGTGCCTCCTCCCTGCTGCTTCTCCAGATCTATGACTCAGGGTCCTTGGGGCAGCAGTCAGAGGGGGCATCAGCTGAAGGAGGCAGGCTGGCTCTGGGTGGGTGGGTGGGGGGGTCTGTGCTTATTCTGGGATGCCAGAAAAAGTGGGGGCCCTTGCCAGGTGTGGAGCAAGGCACAGAGCTAGAAACTGACCTCTGTGACTCGGCAGGCACCTTTGAGCTGTGACCAGGGAGCATGTCTGTGCTCACGCCCTCTTGCCAGTGTGTGTGGGGAGCAGAAGGTGAGGGTTGCGGGATTGAAACTAGAGACAGACGTGATGTCCTGCAAAGCGGGTGAACTGACAGCAAATGTGGTCAGGTTAGATCGTGAGTAGCAAAGCCCTTTCCCTGCCACAAGAGTGCAGTGGCCCGGCTCTGGGCCCACGAAGATGAACAAGATATATACCAGGTGCTTAATCAGTGCTTGTTGGACGGATGGATGAAAAATGGAGACAATGGAAATAGGAAGGAAAGGAGCCAACAGGCCAGCAGAGAGGGGACACTCACGCACAGGAAAAATGTGACTCCCAGGGAAGGAGTCGCACCGGGAAAGATAAGCACTGAGTGATTGATGTAGATGCAACCGGCATAATATTTTACAAACATTAAAGTGATGCATTTCAAGTTCCCTCTTAAATCACATCCTGTTTGCTGCCCTCCCACCTCTGAGTCATGAGGCTTATTGCTCAGGGCAGGAGAGAGAAGGCATTCATCGTCCATAGCAAGACCCAGGCTTTGGAGATTCCGAGAGGGAGGACTGGTACACTGGTTTGGCTCCTTCTGCGCTGTGCTATCCTTTAGGACTAAGAACCCAGAGTTGCTTCTGAGTGTAGAGCAGGTACCCTTCTTCATCACATGACCCACGAGGCTCCCCGGCCACCAGGCTCTGTGGAAACAGGAAGGGGTATGGAACGCCCCCTCCTTGTCCCAGGGCATTGTGGGAACAGGGAGCCGTGAGAAGGGTGTGCCTGTGGGCATGTAGGTGAGGGGGCTCAGCCCTTCTCCCTTCTCCCCTTCCACCTTGGGGTGAGCACGACGTACAGCACAAAGCCAGAGCCCGGTTTATCTGCCAGAGCCCCTTTGGCTCCCCAGTGGTGTGAAGGGGTCCAAAGGTTCCTGGCCACACGTGGCTGGGCCGTCCTAAGGTGATGTGTACCTCTGTGCCTGAAGACTGCACCGGATCGCCACACTGAGGCCCTAAGGAAATGTCCCCGGAACATCTTGGGGGCTACTGGAGGCCAAGCTGTGGGGGGACATCAGACCCCAGACCAAGAGCAGCACCTGGGCTGACCTCAGCCAAGACCACCCGAGACAGGGCAATTGGGAGTCTCTGCAGGGAGGACCAAAGGTGGCCTAGGGCAGCTGCGTGCTTCCATCCACAGTCAGAAGCCAGCTTGGGGAGCGGCAGGGGATGCCGGGTGGGGATTGGAGGCCAGAAGCATTTTCCTTAGAGCATTACTCAATGTGGACTGTGAGAACGTGGCTCAGACTAAGCTGTACAACACACTGAACATTCAGTTCTATTTCTCTCCCAACGCGGGTGGGTGGGGCTTGCGAAGGAGTCAGGTGTGGTACCAAAGGGACCCACAGCTTCTCTGCGTGTTGGAACTCTAGTCAGATTACAAGGGAGAGGAGAGTGCTCAGGCAGCAGCCCCTGGGGCAGGCGAGGCCGCCCTGGGCTGCAGACTTCCCCTCCTCTGGGTCTGGCTCCTCCCCACTGGCATCACACCTGCCCCTCCACCAGGGCTCACAAGACTCTCTGCTGGCAGGTCGGGGGTGGAGGGGGACATCCTGATTTTAGCAAGCATCCCTGGGGCATCTGTGGTACCCTGAAGCCTGACAGCCGCTGTCTTAAAAGATGGGGAGGGACTGTCTGGGTGGATGGAAAGGGAGAGACTGGGGTGGGGATGGGGAGGTGAGGTATTCTGGTTGCCTGGGCTCTCATTTGGAATGTAAGACCTGTGTGCACTGTGGGATCCTCCACGTGGTCCCAAAGTCATAGATTTTTTTTTAAGTTTATTTATTTTGAGAAAGACAGAGAGAGAACGAGGGAGAGAGAGAGAGAGAGAGAGAGAGAGAGAGAGAGAGAGAGAGAGAGAGATTCCCAAACAGGACTTGCGCTGACAGGCAGAGCCGGACGCGGGGCTCAAACCCACAAAGCCGCGAGATCATGATCTGAGCCGAAACCAGGAGTAGGATGCTTAACTGGCTGAGCCATCCAGATGCCCCCAAAAGTCATGGACTTCAAACAGTTTAGTACAGGGCTAAAACCAAACCAACAAGCGAAACCCCAAGGGGGACGGCCGCTGGGATGATTGGTGCCAGCACCCTTGTGGACGGCTTTCGCCGATCACCTGTGTGTGTGAAGATGTGCACTCTGGCAGGAAAGGCTCATGCAAAATTAGAATGCATGAATACTGACAGAACCATCATAATTCTGCTCCTGTCAGCTACACAAATATTAACCAAACAGCAAATATTTGGATCACTTAAAGTTTAATTAAATGAATGTTTTATTGGATTTAATTCATGTCAATATTCCCTGACTGGTTTAAAAATTCTGAAGAGATTTATTGCAATGGAAGCTCTCCTTCTGCCCTTACTCCCAATTATTTACTGTTCAACACACTCTCCCTGGGCAGGTCCCACTTCCCAGGTAAGCGACCTCCTGTGGTCGTGGTCGTTGCCCAGGGTGATAAGTGAGGCAGCGATCACAGGCTGGGGCTCGAGTGAGCAGGGGAGGTTCTGGACTGCAGCTCTGGACACTCCAGGTCTGGCTCTGCCGCTGACATGCCAAGTAGCCTTGGGCAGGTCCCTTCCTGTCAGTCGGACTCGGATCATACGTCACTAAAATGAGATTGGGCAGGGAGGGCTCTGGGACGCTGAGTACATGGGTCTAAGCGGATGTCCCCCAGACCCTCTTCCTTTCTGCCAGGCGCTGTCCAGCTGTGTGTTCCTTGCCCCCCAGTGCCATCTACCTCTGCTCACGGCCTGCTTGCCCGTAGGGGTATGAGTGACACCAACAGTTGCCAAAGCCCAAAGGTGCTTCCCTCAGGATGCCCCCTCAGTCCTTGCCTTCCTGTCCGCCCCAGGCACCAGCAGCCTTCTGTGTGCTCACCTCTTCCGACGTGCCCTGTTCTCATGAGCACAAGGGAGGTCACAGCCATGCTCAAAAGCTGCCCAGAGCCTCCACCACCCACGGAATTCAGAACAGTCCCTGCCCGCCCCTTCCCCCATTCTCCTCCCACATCACGTACCACGGTGCCCACTGATGCCCATCCCACTTGTCTATTCTGAGACCCTCGCTCCCTCAGCCCCTAGAGATGACCTCATGGGATGCTTCTGGGATCTTGAAGTTTTAACATAAGGGGACATTTAGATATTCGCTGATGACTGGAAGACACCATCTTGTTGAATTTGTCAGGACTTTTTCAGGTTTAAGCAAAAGAAGCTCTCAGAAATGCTGGGCCACCTTACGAAAACAAAGGAGGGCGCTCTTGCTTCTCATAAGTGGGAAATCTAAGGCGGGTGGAGGAGGTTGTGGACATAGGGGTTCCCAACAAGGGACTCTCTACTTGGCTGCAAGATGCCCAGCGGTGGCCCCACCCTCACACTGTCCCTGTGCATGGGATCCCTGAGAAAGGGACCGAATCCCTCCTGAGAGTCCTGGACACAGGCACGGGAGAGAACTGTGATAACCAGACTTGCCTCCTGTGTTCTTGCACGAAGCAATCACCTGCACCAGGTGGGTGGGGTACCGTGCAGTCACAGGACGGACCGCCGCACCAGGCCTGAGTCCCGGGGCCACCGCAGGACCGGCTGCTGGGTGCGCTGTGGTGGGAACACATGTCCTGACAGAAAGGACATGTGTGTGTTGGGTGGAGCGACACCCTATGACTGCTACAGAGAGGCAGAGAGGCCTTTGTCTTGCCTCTGCCCCTTCCCGGTCCCCCTGAAGGCTTGTCATGGTGCACAGTGATGACACTGGGGGACAGAATCAGCAGAGTTCTGCTGCAGCCTGTCCCTGACCCACTCTTCTCTGGAGAGCTATGGGGGACAGGTGGCAGTGGTGCTCTGGCCCAGCAGAGGGGACTCCACGGTCCTTTTGAGCCTTGCATTGTGATGGGGGCCAGAGGAGGGCCAGGTAGCCTGCAATGTGTGAAGCTGGCTCTCGTCTGTGTTCAG